GATGAGGATCGTCCTTCGTACCCATTGGGGTATGAGGGGGGACGGCCCGTATGGGCGGTGCCGCACATCCTAGTGTCTGCATCATCTCGAAGATCTTATCGACTCTCTTGCATTGCTCGGAACTGTACAGGATCAACACAGATGGAGGCTGTGGAATTTCTTGATGTGGAGAGCCGCGATGCCAAGATTCTTGAGATGGGGATCGGCTTGTTGATCGTTCTTGGGCATCTTGATCGGACTAGTTCTTGGGCATTTTGATCGCTTTCTTGATTGCGTGGTGAGAAATGAAAGATTTTCGGGAAAGGCTTTTTGTGCGTTTCCCACAATGGCGCCAATCTGATGCTACTCAATCCGAGGTGGTGCACGAACTGAGGAGAGCAACCAGATAGTCCTTGCTGACAGGGTGTGGTTGAGCTACAAGGACGAGGTCGCGCTTCAAGACTTGTGATCAAGAAAGGAGAAGTCAAAGGCCTGAGGAGTTATCCCCGGGTATGTACTCTGACGCTTAAGTCAGTAAGAGGTGGTGGATGGACGGGTCGAGATATAAGGATGTTGGTCCGAGCTAAGTAGCAGTACTGGTGTCAGAAGTTGGGATCCCTTAACTTGAGCATGGAGTACCTTTTTATAGCCGAAGATTCGTTTCCTGGTCAAATTGGGATTCTGGGGTTGTTGGGATGAGGTTAGCCGCTGAGGCATTCGGGATTGATTCCCATTCCCCAACAAAATCGTCTTCCTTATTCTTCCTTATTCATAGTTGTGCTTATCCATATGACGTGTAGTTGATGTGGCTGGAAGGATAAGATGGGGTGCCACAGTAATAGCGTAGCTTGGCCGAGCTATGCCAACGTGGCCAAGCTATGCCAACATGGCTGAGCTAGGATGACGTGGCAGGGCGGTAGCTGGGCGGCCACATGTTTCACAGGGCTAGCTCAGCCATGACCCGAACACCACTCCCCCAGTTCTGAAGTCAAGGAATGAAGTAGTCCAATTCGTTCTTCGGCTGAAGAACTTCAAGTTGATGTCTAGATGGACGTTTGGCCCCTTTGGTGTTCTTCGATGCCTGTCGCAATCTTGAGAACCGGGTAATATGGAAAATGGCCGAGGAATCTTCCCATTATCGGCTGTAGAACTCTAAGAGCTCTGACTTCGGAGTCCGAATAATAATAATAATAATAACAATTACATATTCATAAAATATTATTGACTAATAATAAAATGATAAATAGACTAATACATAATTGAAGAATTTCAATTGATCCTGATTCCAATTCCAAATGAACTAAACAACAACAATAGAATCCAATTTCAATTCCAAATTGACCTGAACAGACATTAGGAATAGATGATTCCAATTCCCACTCCAAACGAATCAATCAACAACAATTGAAATCCAATTCTGATTCCTAGCTGAACCAATTACAAATATGAGTCATCTACAAACCAAATGGACCCTAATACTCATAGGTCAATGACCCATTCAACTTGCTTCAACAGCTTGGCATTACCAATCAACAATAGATGATATTTGTGGACTGAGCTATATCCATGGATGGATACAAATACAAGACGTGAAACAGAATTGAACGAAGGACTCCTTTCTACTGCCCCATATCCATAATTTTCCACGTTGGAAGCTACTCCATACTTTGAACATCTAATTCGACTAACATTTGATTCCAAGCTCTGATATATGTTTATTAGAGGATGAAGCAAATGTGATTCTATTTACCAACAATTTAGTATCTATAAATTATATATGAAAAACAGAGATCAATGTTTTAGATGATGCGCTTTACGGCTTTACATTGACAATATCTTCATACTTAGGTGTTTTATTTCATGGAGAGATAATTCCCAAGAGGCTATTTGAATGGGGTGAGCATCAACTTGTCTTGATTGATGCCGAACTCGGATTCCAAAGATGCAAGTTCAACTTCTTGCCGCTATGCATTTCTCTTTACGGTCATAGAAGTTTAACAGTACAGTGCCTCTAATGAGTCAGGAGCATAACTACCGTTAACCCCCCCGCCCTCCCTCCCTCATGGCGGTGCTTTCCAGTAGGGCTATCACTTTTGAGATTAAATTCTTTTCTGGTTTATCCCAAGTCCACAATTTACAAACCAAAACCAAAAGAAGAAAGTGTTTCTTACCTTGCACTAAAAACGAGCCATTAAGACGATTCCAACTCAAATCAAGCACTTCCAAGTTAGGGGTGTTCATATAAAATATCAAATCGATCAAACCCACTAAACTTATCCGACCCAACTTGGCCAATTTTTCAAAATTACTAGTTGGTTTTGGTTTGTATGAGGAAATAAATCAATAGTTTGGTTAGATTTCGGTTTTCATTATGAAAATCAAAACTGAACCGATCCTACATGCTTAAGTAATTATTAATTAGTCCCCACCCTATATGTTAAATGTTGATATATTTTATATGTATTTGTTTAAACTTTAAAAAAATGGTTATTTATGATAAAAACTAAAAACGTAAATCCAATACAAATATAATACAATGGTATAATATTGAATTCAGTTTTGTATAAATTTAAATATGTATTGACAAAAAAATCAGTTTTGCATAAATACTAATCGATTTAAAAAACTTAAATATAAAAAGATATTTAGAAATAAATACTTTAGTTTAAAATATATACAAAAACCGACAAACCGACCTTTCATGTTTGGGTCAGTTTTGCTTCAAGGTCAGACGGTTTCAGTTTAGTCAATAAATAAACCGACTAGGTCGGGCCGGTTGAAAAAAATGACTCAAACCAACCCAACCCGACCTGACCCGTAAATACACCCCTATTCCAAGTTGATCAGATTCACCAATTCTAAATCAAATTTGAAGTTAAAAGAATGAGAAAGACCACAATTTGACTATAAGACCTAATGTAACAAATTATGAATAAATATATCAAAACCAGAAAGTGTTCCTTCAATGTCATTCTCCTTGATATGCAAAGTTTCAAGCATATGTGAAATTTCACCTAAAATTAGGACGGTAAACGGATCAAATCCAGTGGGATACATATAGGTAAATCAAAATTTTATTCGTTTATACTTGAATTCATATTAGATCTTTTCCATCGGATTTATATAAGATTCGAACCAATTTGGGATTGTAATTAAATATTGAATAGTATAAGTTCCAAAAAAAAAAATAGTACAAGTGAATTAAATTAAAAATGATTAAAATATTATATATTTATTAATAAAATTAATTAAAAAGGACTTCGGTATTGTTTGTGAACAAAATGAATTGAAAATTATTTGTATGAAACTTTAATTGTATGATAATTTAACTAGTAAAAAAACACAATGTTCAAACTATCTTCGCTAATAAATACAATATAATTTTTTAAGTGTAAATAAGTATTAGGGCTATAAATGGATAGAATTCAGATCAGATTTGGTAACGTCAGAATCCAATCCAATTAATGAAAACTGAAATCCAATCCAATAGAATTTGAAGATGGATGTTGGATTTTATTCATATTAAAAGAAATTAAATAATCTTTAATTTGTTTATAATACATTAATATAAACATCCTATATAATCAAATTGTAATGACATCAGATGGAGTTAAATCTACAAACATATGCAAATTGTAAAACCCAAATTCAATCCAATTATATAAACGGAACATCTATCTGAATCTGAGCTGAACGGAATGGATGTCAGATCAGATTTCAAACTTTCAAAGTTCGTTGACAGTGTATATATTTTAAATCGAATAGAATAGAATTTTATCGGATTGGATAGAGGTGATGAATCATATATGAACTGATCGAAATCATATTCAAATTGGAATAATCGAAATCAAATCAAGGGAAAAAATAAAACCTTGATTTTAGAGAGAAAGTGAATCCCCCCAACCCCCAACCCCATAATGGGGTGTTTACGGTTCACTTAGGGCTCAGTCTATAACTGAATCGGTAGTATCAGTTTTTGGAAAAACTGGTAATCGAATAAATTAAAACCTATCGGTTAATTAGTTGATTGGTTCGGTTTGTTGATTTTTTGGTTTTTTAATTTTTATAATATATATTATAAAAATATATATAATATTATATTTTAAATAATAAATAATATATCATATATTACAAACATATATATTTATATATATAATATATATTTATTAATTTATAATATATAAAATATATATAATATTCATTAATATATAAAAATATATAGAAATATATGTATACCGGTCGGTTCGGTTAATTACTGGTTTTTTGTATTGTTTAACCAAAAGCGAATTGGTACCTTCGGTTTTTTGGAAACATCGAACCAAAACTGAATCGACCGATTCGATTAACTGATTTTTCGGTTCGGTTTTGGTCGGTTCGGTTTTTCATTTTTTTTCCACCCTTAACCCCATTAGTTTTAAAAACACCTTGATAGTTCATGGCCCCATCCTGTAGGGGGACCGGATCGACTCTGGATCTACTGGCCACGAGATTCTGCCCACGCCTACCCATAATACACTACCCCCGTGAATTTGGAACATCTCCCTCTACATAATACTATGCAGGGTGAGATGTTCTCCATGTATGACTGATATAAACGTGGACAGAATTCTCTGGACAGGAGATCCGGACTCGACCGGATCTATTAGGCACAATAAAGTAAGCACATTAAATGAGTAATTGATAAATATTTTGACAACTGTCAAAAAAACTTGTAAGTACTCATTTACCGTACTCACAACGTTGGTGTTCCTGAACTGCATTAACTTTTTGTTTTTTAGCATTTTCCATTAAAATTAAAAAAAAAAAAAAAGAAAAAGAAGAATTAAAAGGATTAATATTGGTTAATATTTTTTTTGGTAAATTAATTAATAAATTAAACGACTAATATGGGGTATAGAATTAATATGCATACGACCCTATTAAAAGGAGGCTACCGCCAATCAGTGAGAATTGCTGGATTCCCGGTTTCCGATTCCCATTTAAACAAAGTATTTAAAGAAAAAAAAAAACCGTTAACATACCTTCAATATCAAAGGAACCCGAGAAATTGTTTGAACGAAGAGACAGTGTCTTGAGGGATGTGAGAGCACCCAAAGACGGAAGCATGGTGTTATTGAAATTATTATAACTCAAGTCCAGGAACTCAAGTTTTTCCAGTCTAGCCAACTGTTCAAAGCCTGCAATAGTAAACGGTAATACCTTTAAAAGTTATAACTCTATTTATATGCATTAAACTACTGAAATTTTTGGATATTCACCTAAACTTGGCTTTTCAGAACCCACTCGACCGACACAAACAAGAATTAGAGGTTCCTTTCTTACAGTCCTTTGTCGTTGTTAACATTTCCAAGAAGAATGAAAACAAGATTATGGCAGAAATAAAAATGAAAGTGATAAACAAAAAGGTAAATTATGGAGATATATTCCTACCATGTACTTTGCGAGTGGTGGCAATTATTTCATGAATTTTTATTTGTAACAAAAACCTCCCAGAACTTTCATATTTTGTTAAATTAACTTGTTCCATCACTCAATTTAACTTTCATATTTTATGGAGGTAATTAATTCACCTAAAAAGGTGACATAAATGTTGGAAAATAAAACCCAAAAATACCTGTATTATGAATCCAGCCTCCAATATGGCTACCTGATAAGTCGAGATACTGAAGATCTTCAAATGGTAGAAATAAAGAGGCATTTAGATTGAAATAGCTGAGGTCGTAAGGATCAGCGTAATACCACCACCGTGTTTGGTTTATTAAGAGGTGGGTGACTCGTCCTGTGCTGGGATTACACTTTACTACTCTCCAAGCACAACAGTCGTTGTCGTCCACCTTTCCTCCCTCCTCATCACCCCATTCCAGACTTTTACTAATATTTAGACCTGATATGAAAGCATGTTTGAGTTGTAAAAGGGCCTTCCTTTCTTTGTCAAGGCACCCAAACAACCCTTGAAACATCGTCCATGGAAAGCACTTATTATTGAAACATCTCGCCATCTCCGTCGTCATCACACTTGATGGGTTTCTTCTTCTTGGGTCGCCTCCTCGCCCTAATTAATTCTACCTTTGAGCCACAGAACCTGCAATTAATGACGAAGAAGAAAGGCTTTTGAGTTTGGTATTAAGAGAAGACTCACATCACTTGACATTTTATACTAGCATTGAACCTTGTGGAATTCTTGACTGACATAGTAGTAAAGACACAGCTACTCCACACCACAACAATCATTAATATAATGAAATCGCAATTCACGGTTTTAGGTCCAAAACCATGTTGTCATATAAAAAAACAAGAATAAAATAAAAATAAAAAAATAAAAACTAAAAGCAACAGTACCCACTTAATTTGTTGTGGCATAAAAAAGTGAGCTCATTCCACAAAGGACCTGGTTGTGGAGAAAAAAACTTGCTCCTTAATTCAATAATATTTTTTTACTCCAACTAACTCATTAGAAAATGCCACAACAATACACAGTAGAATGAAAAGCATGATTCACGATCTACATGAGAGCAACGTGAAAACCATGGATATGACACTCCCCACAACGCCCACAGCACATCCCGCCCTGTATTTGAAATATCATTATACACGGCGGAGATGTGCTGTGAGGCGTTGTGGTATGGAGATGTGATCTTGGCAGTTGGATCGGAGCCCTACCTGTGTGTGAATGATAGACTAATATCCGGAAAAACAAAAGCATGGCCATAAACATGCCCCATCCAGAAAATCTCTCAGTTAACCCCTAATATCCCTTTGAGACTCCCCTCCTATAAATTTCTTTTTTTTTTTTTTTTGTTTAGGCAAATAAACTATACTATAGTTTTACAAAATTCACAAAATCCTGGACATGAGATATTATATTATCCCCCTGCGGATAATCTTGAAAGTAGCAATAGTCCTGGGCCTCCTGGCCTAGCGATTTGGCCACAAAGTTAAGTGAATGTGAACGTCAGATTGGTTAAATCAGTGTCCCCTGAGGCCACCAAACATTTATGCATGGGCAATCAATACAGACAAAGGTTCACACCAGTTCCATACCTCCCTCCCCGGCTCCTCCCAAGACCTCCAATCAATGATTCACCAATATTTGGATCATAAAGTAATCTTACTTATATGGCAAAATGTTGAATCCAGATATATCGACTTTTTGTGTATGTTAAAAGTTAAAACTACTTCTGTGAGTAGTTATATGGCAAAATGTTGAATCCAGATATATTGACTTTTTGTGCATGTTAAAAGTTAAAACTACTTCTGTGAGTAGCAATTCTACTGGTTCTGACTTGATGAGAGCATATATAAATCCTGCAATACAAGAACACCATATGGAGTTTGGTAGGACGTCATAAAAAATCTACCATCTCCAGCATCCAGATGAAACAACGTTGTTTTCCCACTGCTTTTCCCAAGGAAATAGACTCCAATTCGTAGATTTTGATAAACCCCTCGCTGTTTTTGTCCATGCCATGAACATGAATGCTATGAATTCCAAACACATCTCATTTATAATTTCTTGACGACCCAAGTGAACCATCCACTAAGAAGTTAGAAGACATGAATGTTGATTAATGAAGATTCACCCCAAAATTTGATGAGCATCATCCACTGCTCAAGCCATGGAGCACAACTTGTCTGCAAAACATAATTAGATTATGAGGTTCAACATTTTGATGTTTCCACCTGTAACTGTGTATTCGACAAGCAGTCACGTAAGAGAAAGACAATTGAAGTGTACTTTCAAGCAGAAAAGTACACAACCAGAGATGATTAAACCAACCTTGTCCATAGCCACTGCAGCAAAGACGAGTATCATCAATGTAAGTTGCTTCCAGGCCCATCATCCATGATCCAACAGATATATCATCATGAGAATATGTCTTTAATGATACGCTGCATATAGGAAATATGGGAAATGAATGTAAGAAAACATAGATTATAGTCATACAAGAATATTAAAGTTTATTATACACTTCCACTGCTGTCCCAAAGATGGAGAAATAACACAAATTCATGCTTCATCGGTTTAGTGACCTTAGTAAGTCCACTCTTTGCACCCATGATCATAAGGCTTGTAAAGAACCCTAAGCACTTACCTGTTTATGTTAATATATTTAGCCAAGTTCTTAGATAGTATAAGTAGAGAACCACTTGCATGTCTGAAATACCTGAAAGTAACAAAAATATAAATGAAATAAGGATTGCATTCAACAATATAAGAGAGAAATTTGAGAAGAAGACAGACTAGCACAACATGTTCACAAGAGACAAAATGAAAAAAAAAAAAAGGTTATAGAGATCAATGAAAACAAACTTTGATACACAGGAGAGGTTAATATTAAAAATGGGATTGGCTAATAGTAAACAAGGTTTTAAAAGATGAGATCATAGATCAAAAGGAAAGGGGATACACCAATTATTTGTCCTACGATAAAAGACAATTAAAATTATTTGTGTCTATGCACTTCAAGTAGAAATGGATGAAAATACTAAAAGAGATGAGAAATTTTTTATGGGCTAGTTCCAGAAATTCCGGTTTGGGGAATAATAATTGTTAAACAAGATTTAAATTGTCATGTATGAAAAGAAAGTACTGGGTAAATGTTCAGAGTTTACTTTGTGACAACTATGGATTTATAATTGACATCTCAGATACTTATTCATTTTCTTTTTCTATTTGGACAGTAGGGTTCTGATGACTGAAATTCATGTTGTCAGTTATCAAAATAATAAGGCAAGGGATGCAATTTTGTCTTCCACATTAGCATTTCATTAAGGAGTTGTAATAAATAATAAGATTAAGGAGAGATGGAGGGATTTTTCTTATTAGTAAATGAAAAAACTTGTGGGGAGTTCAAATATAAATATTGAGGATCTTAAGAGATTTAAAGAGAGTAGAGAACATAGATATATTCATAGAATGAGCGCTTCAAAAGTTACAGAAGCTTCAAGTTTAGCCCCAGTTAGTGACAAGATGAAGAAAAGATGATTGAGATGGTTCATTGATGTTCATAGGCAACCAATGACTGCACAAGTAAGGAGTCATTCGGTGCAAGTAGAAGGTTCTTGAAAGAGCACAATGACATGAAAAGAGTGTTGTAGCCAACCCCACATAGTTAGGATTAAGGTTAAGTGTTAAGAAACAATAAAAAAGAACATAACATCATTTTTCACCTTCATATTAGCAAATCCAAAACCAACAAAGTAAAATACAATGAAATGCATCTTTCCCTAGGACAGAGTTCATAATCTTTTAAAATCACATTATTGTGAAGATTATATTTATAACAAAACTAAAGTTTTAATATCAAATTGGTGGATATATTAAGGAGGGGAGGTGTACAAGCTTAAATCTTCAACAGCCTAGAATTTAGAGAGGATTCTCCATTACAACTTAGTAATAGAATAATATGAATGCCACTTTGTCATCCCAATAGCCAAATTTGTTTCATTTCCTATCATCTGGTAGTCTTTCATTCAGGCCTTTTTTCTTTTCTTTTTATTTCTTGGTGGGGGTGGGGGGCACCAACAAGTGAGTTTGTCAATATACCAACAGAGTGGGTGAAGAATAAAACAAATTAGTTGCTCGGAAGCTAGACCATGTTATCCAGTACTTTATAAAGCATATCTTCATGGTAGATTTAGCATCAACACAGACTTCACTAGCCATCAAAAGACTGCTCATATTCCAAATGATTTATAAGACAATCAAGGACACCAAATTACTTTCAGAGTAACATAGAAATTGATTCTCAACATTGATGTGGACTTTACTGCTCCCAACTCTCTTCTCCTTCATATCAGTCCAGGTGATGCTTATGCATATTTACAGTAACAGATTTTTCTATTTCTGAGCAGTGTTTTTTGGCTTTACCAAAAACATGTTTCTAATGCTGGACAAATTTTCCTGTTATGAATAAATGCTATCATTATGCAAATTTTATGGGCAATACTTCTTAAGAAATCAGAGAACTATAAAAGAATTAAAAGAAATCATGCACTGTACTAATGGAGCATAGAACAAATCCACAGCTTATAAGAAAAAAATAAATATAGGCAATAATCCCTCATTTGTAGTCCTCATCCATGAGTCAGATACTTACTTCTTCTGATCTCCAAATTTCCACCATTCTGGTTCATACCATGGCCTTCCCCTAAAATCAAATAAAAATAAAAACTAAAAGGGTTAACCTTTAGGAACACTTTGCTTGAAGTAAAAGAGAATTTCAAAGTAACTGATATGATGTTGAATGATAGGGGATGAAAAAGATGGATAGGTCCACAGAGGTAGAGGATGTAGCATTTTTTTGGCAGAAAAGGTCATGCAATTTTATCCCATTGTGATATTGTTGCTTCTAGAAACAGATCGAAAGAAAATCCACAACCACTCCACAAAGACATCAAAGTAGAGATACCATGTAGTGTTTTTCTAATCCCTTATTTATTGGGTGGGAGGGCACCTTGGGATGAGAAGAACTTCATTTCACTGAACTCAATTCAGTCAACTCAGAATTGACTTTGTAGATGTCAGATCCAGGGACTGTGGTTTAAATCAGTGAGACCACCTTAGTTATTTCTTTCTTGTTTTCTCTTAATTAAGTGTTATCCCCTTGGTAGCCACTAAAGTACTTACAAAGTGATAGTATTGGCCCCTAACATGCACCCAAGGAATAAAAGGGATAAAAATATGTGGTTAGCCTGCAAAAAGAGATGTTTTCACGGTAAGATACAACAAAATTTTCCCCACTAGGCTACACAAGTTGTAACATTATACCAGTCAGCACTTTATACCATCATATGCCATTGTTATATAAATGTTAATTCTGAGGTTCTTCTCAATAAAACTATGACTTACAAAGCATGTTCAGCTTTCAAAGTTCTACAGGATAAGAAAAAAAAAATTTCTCCAATTCTGCAGTTTCACTCCAAAGTAACAACAACCACAATCTCATCTATCTATGGATAAGGACAAAGAATGCAATGAGCATTAATGCAAAAGTGCTAACTTTTTCTAGCATGTGAAGAGTGTAAAACCACATAATGTGCAAACTTGTCTCTATGTTTTCATTTTTTTCATAATTAACTGATGAATTTCATTAAAACCACATAATGTGCACACTTGTCTATGTTATAAAAAATACTCCTTTTATATTGAATTTTCAGAAGCAATCCTACTAACCCATCATAAAACATAACAAGTGTGGAGCTAAAGGTTATCAAACTCAGTACGAACATAAAAAATGCACTACAAACATCATCCAAGGCATTTAATATGAAACAACTTAAAGAATCTGAACATATATGCTCCCAATAACTCACAAATAGTTTTCAGCTTTCAGCTTTTCTTTTTTCTGAGGAGATAGTTTTCAGCAGCATTTTGATAAAAAAAATGTTAAGGTCTATCAAAGGTGAAAGAGAGGAGGAGGGGGAAGAAATTACTCATCACTTATAACATCCCCTGACTTCATGCACCCAATATAAGCACTGTCCTGACCACGGCGAGTTTCAAGCATTTCAATCAACCCCTCTGATAAAAAAGAACAGTGTAAATAGCATATCAAGAAGATCAAACAATAAACAGATAATATGCATATTTAATTCTTTGTATTTTACAAATCCTTCAAACATACACAAGGTAGAACCCTAACCAAGGTCAATGTTGAAGTTGTCATCGACTTTAACATAGAACTCTGCATCCCAATTTTCAACTGCTGCACTGAAGAAGAACTTTGCTTTCTTTGGCAACTCTTCTTGAGCCTCCTCATGACCATCCTAATAATCATAGTAGTGTATCAAATTTCCTACTTGATTACCCAGAACTAGAAAAAATAAACTGTTCCACTTCATTTAGTGAAACATAGTTCATGAAACATAATTTCATGACGTAGTAAAACATACCATTTTACACATTTTAAAAGTGTTAATTCTATAAAGTACAACATGTATCCATGCAGTATCCGGCATCGTATCATACAAGTATCATATCTTACACCAGTATGCTAGGGCATGAACAGATTTTAGGATCTCATAGCATAAAAGTATCAAAAGTTCAACTTTGGCACCAATAAAGGTTCCAATAACAGAATTCATGGACTGATATCCTATAAATAGTTCAAAATCACATGAAAAACTGAAAGAATAAATTAAGTCAAGACTTCAAACATCATTTACATTACAGTATTTCCCTTTTTATGTATTACATGTTACACATTATAGGGTATTTAAGGGGTGGGAGTGGGGACAGAGAAGGGTGCACGTGAGGTCCTCTGACCATACCACAGAGAGCCTGCAGTTAAGCGGGTTTGATCCCGTCAAGTAACCATCTCAACTACTCGGTCATTGGCATTTACAACATTTCCTTTCATCCTAAAAAAATATCTTCTTGAAGGCAATAAAAATTATAAAATCATCTTTTTTGTGTAAGGATTAAGAGTTTAAGACCTTACATGGACTTGTTTGAGCTTGCCTTGAGGGGATTGGTGCAAAGGTGGCTCGTAATATCAGGAATGCAAGATGTTTTACATCACATTAGCTATTTGAAGTAATGCAATTGAGGAAAAAAGGAGATTGTGGGCTTTACATGCTTGAAAATGTTTTATATGTTTTATTTTACATGTTATATTTATGTATTTTAATTTTAGATAATAGATTTTTGAAAACATTTATTTTAAAATCTAAGTTTATGTTTACCTTCTTCATGCTAATATTTTTTCAATTTTTTTGGCATTTTTTTGTATTTGCACATTGCTTTGAAAAGGTACACACCTCACCTTACACCTTGCACCTCAGGCGCAAATTGCCCCTTGCGCATTTTTTGTGCCTTGCTCTTTTAAAACACTGCCTGGACCAGATCATTGAACTGAATTCTCCATTGACTAGAGAGGGGAACCATGATGCTCACTATCATGTCTATCTACCCTAACAAGTTTTCTAATTCCAATTATACTCTCTTGTTTTGACAGCATTGAGCATGAGTGCCTTTTTATTGCATAAGCTACACGGTGTATGTTTACAACGCCATGTTTTTTAAAACCAACCTGGACCAGATGGTTGAACTGAATTACCCATTGAATAGACTCTGGAGGAAAACCATGATGCTCACTGTTGTGCAAATGTCAAAAGCGCAAGGCGCAGGGATCAATTTGCACCTAAGGTGCAAGGCGAGGCGCACGCCTTTTTGAAGCAAGGAACAAAAATTAAAGAAAAAAAAGCTAAAAAATAAAAAAATGTCAAAAAATTCAAAAAAAATGCAAAAAAATAAAAAATATTAAACATAATATTAATAAAATATATTTAAATTTTAAAATAAATGTTTTAAAAAACCTATTATCTAAAATTAAAATACATAAACATAACATGTAAAGAATATTCAAATGTGAATTTAAAAATAAAATCAAACATATAAAACATTTTCAAGCATGTAAAACCCACAATCTCTTTTTTCCCTCAATTGCATTACTTAAAGTAGCTAATGTGATGTAAAACATATTACATTCCTAATTCTACGAACCGCCTTTGTGCCACACCCCTCGAGGAAAGTCCAAACAAGTCAATGTTAGGCGCAGAATTTTAAAAAGGCGCAAGCCTGGGCTGAGGCGCATCAGGCGCACCAAGCATGTGTGCCTTTTGAAAGGGCTGCGCCTAAGACCTGGGTGAGGATCCTACCTTAAAATGTGCCTAGGCACGCCTGAGGCATGCCTTTTAAATCACTGCCCTCTACCCCAACAAAACCTTCTGATTCCAATTATTCTCTTCTGTCTTGACAGCACTATCCATGAATGCTGTTTTATTGCATAATCATTGTGCATATTTATAACTCCATTTTTTTAAAACCAACCTGGACCAGATGGTCAAACTGAATTATCCATTGATTAGAGAGGATTCTTGCTCTAAAAGTCTGTATATGTTTGTAACAGGTAAGTTCCAAAATTTTGTGTGCAAGCAGGTCACTAATTCCATGGAATTGGTTTTTTATTGTCTAATACATGGCAGCATTGGGGTAGCAGTATAGCTACTTATGTGAATGCTCTTGTGGAGATGCAGTGTGATTCGATTAGCAAATCCTAAAGAAGGATTTTGATATAGCTTTAAAATAGTGTTATACTTGTCAGAAAGCCAAGAAAGGAATCAAATAAAGGGCTCTATTCCAACTCTCTGTCTTAACCTTATTCCCTATCAGGTACCTGTTTCAGGTAAAAGCCTATCCAGTACCAAAGGTACTCATAGTTCAGCTAATGTTGTATAACAAGGATATGTATTTTGGTTTTGAACACCAATAATATAACTGAAGAAGTGACTTTAGAAAACCAAAAAATAGACACATCTGTACAGTTTATTTTGTATATTATGAAACACATCCAAAATTTTGGTTTGTTTACAAGTATTCAAAATTTAATTAAAAAGTGGGTTTATGTAGAACAAGATTATGTCAATGAAAATTTTCATAAAATGGAAAATGTAATTGCTGAAAATGAAATTTATAACATAAGGTTTCATGTACTTGATCATTATTATTACCAATAAAAGGAAAACAAGAAAGTTAAGATGAGTCCACAGAAAAAAAACACTTCCACATCTGACAAGACTAAATTTCAGAAAATAGACAGGCTTGTTGCATAGGACTAATATTGCTGACCATGTAAAGAAATGGTTGACCATGTAATTGCTGAAAATGAAATTTATAACATAAGGTTTCATGTACTTGATCATTATTATTACCAATAAAAGGAAAACAAGAATGTTAAGATGAGTCCAAAGAAAAAAAACACTTCCACATCTGGCAAGGCTAAATTTCAGAAAATAGACAGGCTTGCTGCATAGGGCAAATATTGCGGACCATGTAAAGAAATGGTTGGAGAATGGGGCATTGTTTTCTGACATTCTTTGGGGAACCTAAAGAGCTTGTTGACTCAGCAAAAAAATTGATTCAGAAAGTAGCATCACTATACAGGAATTCTTTTGATAATCACTATACAGGAATTTCTATTCTTAACTAAGAGCTTGTGGACTCCGCAAAAATTTGGTTCAGAAAGTGGCATCACTATACAGGAATTCTTTTGATAACCACTATACGGGAATTCTTTTGATAATCACTATACAGGAATTTCTATTCTTGACTTCTAGATCTCTCTGTCTTAATCCAATAAGTCATCATTACTTATTTATGTTAAAGGAAAAGTCAGCAATTTCAAAGGTTTTTTACTCTTTTAAAAGTACATAAACAAAATAGCCATTATTGTAAAGCATGGCAGTCACATGAGATTTCATGTAACCATTATGCTGACTCCAACAAGGTGAGGAACCAAAACTACCTTTTGGTTGGATGCATGAGGCAAGGGGTTCCACTAGTTGGAGACGTAAGGCATAGTTCAGAACGTAAGATGCATAAGCCTCCCAAACACAAGGAAGCTTAAGCTTCCTTAAGAGGAGGGGGATGAGGAGGAAGAACAAGAAGGAGGATCTCGTCTTTCACTTTCTTTTTTAATAAAGATATTTTATATTAAGAATGAAGATGCATAGCACTAGCTGAAAAAGGGGGATCTTGTCGAAGCGGAGGCAAGCGAGAGAATCGAGCGACTTTCCCTTTCTCTTTCCTTCTTTTCCCTTCCCTTTTCTTTTCTTCCTTCTCTCTTTCTTTCTTTCTTTCTTTTTCTTTCCCTCCCGTTTCTCTTCCTTTCCTTTCTTTTCTCTCCTTTCTTTTTTTTTTCTTTTTTTTTTCTGTCTTTTCTGCATGAGGTGTGCGTGAGGCACATGAGGCATACGCATCTAGCATGCCTCGTACAAAAGGCATATGAGGCGTAAACCTCAGGGGTATCCACAACTCTGGCATACGCCTCAAGGCATTTTGGGGGCGCCTTGCCTAGAAACACGCCTCCAAAAGTATGCCTCCCCCGCCTTTTAAAACACTGAATTTGAATTTTACTGCTTGAAGGTTTCACTGAAAATCCTTAAAGAACACTACTAGTTAGATAAAGAGAAAGAGAACGGTTGACTTTGAAATTTCTCATATCATTAGTGAATCAAGGACCTAGTCCTCTTATAAAACATCTCATTAAGCTAGATGCCTGTGGAGGACAATGATTTTGTAGATCACTTTACCAAGTCCAAGGCTACAAGTCTTTTCATTAGTCATATGATCCAGACATAGAATTGTTATCTTTTTCAGAAATTCCTATTTATCCCTTCTATGCTGTATACCCCTACATATATTGAACATTACTTTTAACAAATACTTCTCTAGCAATGCTGAAGGGAAGGTTTAGAAGATAACACAGTAACTCCCACGTATCATTCTAATTTTCTCAAAACCCTCTGACCTCCTGAATACTTTTCTAGCAACCCCAGACCAAACCCCAATTTAACCTTCTTCCAGTTGTACTCCTTTTCACCCTAATTATAGAAGTACTACCTACTTCTCTCAATAACTTCTTATAAATTTGTCCACTCATCATGTGTATTACACTATTCCTTATCAGTTTGTTTTTGGAAGCTTGCAATTACTTCAGTACGGAGCTTAATTATATTGACCAAAAATGTAGCCAAGTTTCAACTTTCAAGCTAACACAATTTCTCTTCTTCATTGTGACTCATGTACGTGAACATTCAGCGATAGGGATAAACAATGTATTTTCTCCTTAATAGATGGCATAGATCCACAGGCACAAGGAATTAAAATACATCAGTTGCAACTGAGGTTCTACCTATACTACTAATAGCAAGTGGGACCAAAAGTCACAGGCAGAAATTTAAAGACAAATTGTAAATCAAAAGAAAGATACCATTTTTTAATAGATATTAAAAGAAAGATACCTAACCAAAATCCATTCAGGAAAGTCATCTTTAATTTCCATAAGAATTGCAGACAACAGTAAAATAAAAAGATCAACAAACGAGTAAAGAAAAAGGCACAAGTATCATAGTATGATAATAAAATGATTCAACATCCAATAAAGTGGCCGAAGTTACAAGATCTGAACAGTTAAATAGCACCAAAATTGATATTCAACAACTTACAAGGATCAAGAAATCCTTCATCTGCCGATTTTCCTCATCAATACTACGATCTAAGCTATCACCTCGATTAGCACTGGCAATATCCAATATCCAAGCAAATATGCAGGATAATCAATAGGAAGAAGGAGCAATGTATAAACTGGAACCATAAAACATGAAGAGGATTGTGTAAAATAGTAAAAAAAACACAGTTTTTAAGTGTTGGAGAAAACCTCCGACCAATTACGAATCGTATCACCACCCCTCTGCCCTCAAGTTTTTTCAAGGCGTCACCTGCAACAAGTCTCCATCAAATCAAATTCCAAAAAACGACTAATAGAAGAATGTTTGTTCAAAATCCTAAGTCAATTTGAAATAAAAAATCAAATTTGGAACTCAAAATACAATGATAAGATTACTAGGAAGTTGAAGTTCCCTCCCAAGACTCCAGATAGCTGGGACAAACATTGGTTTATGGCCTTATAATAAGTAAAATAACAGCAAAAACAATTCTTTTCTAACTGATATATTAAGGTAAAGCTTCTATTGTTGAAATTTCGGCAAGGCTAATGGAAGTATAAAGCGATGCTACGAGAGACGAGACGAGACGAAATAATATTCAAAATTTTGATTTCTATGGCAGAAATTTTGCAAATTGTAATTCAGAAAGGAGAAAGGAGATTAAAGAAAGAAAATATTAACAATCCCAACTGACCTCTCGGCATCCAAGAGCTTCTGAATATGTTCCGCGTCAAGCGACTACCAAATCCAGTATATACCCCAATAACGGCGAGAAGCTTTTGCCCAGAACCAGACCCACTTTGCTGCAACTGATTCCTTAAGTACCCTTGACTCTTCGCCATCGTCAAGTCCATCTCAGCCTCCACGGTCCTCCTTGCCAAATCTCTGAAAATAAATCAAACAAAATCATAAAGCAAGGATTCAATACGAAACTATACAAAGAAAAATATCATTCAAACATGTGTGATTTGACCAAAAAAAATGAAAACAAAAAAGCTACTCACTTGCATCCTAGGATCATTAGCTTATCCTCAACTGTGAGGACTTTGGGTGTCTACAACAAAAATTAAATAAATAAGAACATAAAGAAAGGTTTTTGATATCACGAAGAAAAGAAACCACTAAATCGAATTTTGAAAAAGAGAAAACAAAACCGGGACCAACACGAACCTGGGCAGACTTCTTCTGAAGAAGGTTGGCCAGTAAGGTTCTGTTTTCTGCATCTTGCCACAACCTAAATCGTTCATAGATTTACGAGAATCCATACAATTAGGTTGCAAGTAACAATAAACAGAAGAAGAAGAAGAAGATTTAACGAACGAAGACAAGACAAGCTGACCGGCCAGCAATGTAGAGCCAAGCGATGGAAGACAACAAGACCATAACGAGTGAGCTTTTGCTCGTCTGCAACGATTTCGACTTCCATTTCTTTTCGTGCTTCATCGTAGTCGCTAAGCTCTCCCGGAAGGGGGGGCTGTTATCCATTAACAGATTTCTCCAGAGGAAAAACGAGATCGACCGATTGATCTGTGAAGAAATCAAAATTTTGGTTCTAAGATTTAGAAATTGAATTAATCAGGGAAAATAAACGAGGAGAGAAAGCCCCGACAACTCTTGTCTCTGAGCGCGGTGGTTACTTCTGGGGCCGGTCAGACAGACATCCGCAGATCGAAACGGCAGAATAAAGTTCTGTGTAAATTGCAAATAGGTACCCTTTAATTTGGGTAGTCTCACTTTAGGCCTCAACTTTCAAATCAAATGTGCCACTTTAATACCTCAATTTTCATAAACATGCATTTAAGTTAAATTCTGTTCAACAAACTTTACGGTGAAGCATAAAATTACGAAAATGCCCATTTTCTGATTTTCTTTTCTATTATTCATCTTTTTTCCACCTTATCTAGACTCTTTTTTTTTTTTTACTATTCACCAGAATATGGGTATTTTTATAATTTTACCTCTCATAATAATGTTTGTTAGTTAAATTGAACTTAAATGTATGGTTTTAGAAGCTTAGGCTGTGTTTGGATACAATGCAAATAAATTTGCAAAGGCAGAATAAAGTAAAATCTAAAGCAAAAATTAAATAAGAATTTGCATTTTTTATATTTGCACTTTCATGCATTTGTACTAAGTGCAAATAAATTTGCACTGCAATCAAACACAGCCTTAGATACCAAAGTAGTGAGATACCCCAAAGACTTTACGCCCATACACAATGAAAAGTGTTTGGCCTTGTGACCATTGTATTTAATCCAACAGGGTTTATTGGTTCTCTCCCCCTATTACTTGTTTTGGTGCATTTTGCTTCAATCTTTTTTTTTTTTTTCTTCATGGGGCTAGCCCATCCCCCTCGCTTAAAATACCTCCATCTAAGCCCATTAAACACATTTAATAGAATTTTTCTTCTTCTTTTGTACATAAATAGAAAAACAAATGCACGCATAATTTAACAATGGATATGACATTAAATAAAACAAAATGTCAAAACAGGATTCATAGAAAAAAAAATGAACTCATAATTTAACAATAGATATGACACTAAATAAAATGAAATGACAAAACAGGATTCATATGGTCAAACCTCGTATACTTGGGACAAGACTTAGATGATAACAATGATGATAACAGTGGTCAAACCTCGTATACTTGAGTATACTATCTTGCCTACCATTCCATGGATTTGATCCCACACCTCCTATTTTGGAAGGATGCCGACTGACCATCTCAACTACTAGGTCATTAGCTTTTTTGGGTCTCATAATAAGAAAAAAAGGCGAGGTCTTTACTCCCTAGTTTTTTTTTTTTTTCTTTTTCTTCTTCAAAACAAGTGAGAGAAAGAAACGTGAGATGCATCATGCATACTGTGGAGACATATCACTAAGAGAGGAAGAGCTATTTGGTTTCAACTTAGGTTCGAGCCAAGCTCAAGCCCAATTTACAGGCTTGTTTACTAATCGAGTCGAGCTCGAATAGCTACATATAATAATAATAATAATAATAATAATAATAATAATAATAAATTATAGAAAATAATATATAATAAAAATATTATATATAATACTTTTATTTTTATATATAATAATAACTACTTATTATAATTCTTAATTTTTAAATATCAAATAAAAAATATTTTTATATATAATTTTTTTATTTTTATAAAACATTTTTCTCAAGTCGAACTTGAGGCGAGCCAAATTCGAGCTTACAAGTTTTTGACTCGATCTAAGCTTGAGCTCAAGGTTCTAGCTCCAACCGAACTCGAGCTTCATACTGCCTTGGTGAGCCAAGTTCAAATAACTAGCTATTCAGCTCGACTCATCTCGAATCCACCCCTAAGAGAAAGTATGTAGATCTTAGACTTATGTCACCAAACAGGTATCCTCTTCTACTTTTAGACTTAGTGCAGTTTTTCTGTTATGGTGAATAAACTACTTGAATCCTAAATTGACAAGAGGCACATTTTCTAAACAACACTGTCTTCCATTGGGGATGGATGGGTTGCAGCAAATAGAAACCCAACTCCCCCACATCCAACTCAACCTGAAACATTAGTTTACAACAGATGATGATGACCCAGTAGCCAAGATGGGCGCATATTCACATGGCACCCCTCCATTTATGTGGTGTAGGATCAAACCTCAGGCTCTTCATGACTTTATGGTATGGTCACTGGGCCTCATGTGCACCAAAAATAATGTACAAACTAACATGAACAGCCTCCCAAATTTGGAAATGCAAATCGTAAAAAAATAGTAGGTCTTTTTTATATTTTTATTTATCATATAAAAATTAGGCCATTTATGTTATGTTTGGTTTGATAGAAAATAGGGTTTGAATATGATACCGAAAAGAGATGATACGGGAAAGCTTGTAACCAATGAAATGGTATAATATAAGTTGCAACCAATCAGGTGATATTTATCAAAATTTATGGAGTGATTTGAATTTTTTTTTTTTTTTTGGGGGGGGTCCCTTTCCTTATCATGTCTTTCCAGCATGGATTTTTCCTAGAAAATAAGAGAGTAGCAGAAAGTTGAGGGAAATTCTTAACAAACTTTGTAATTAATTTTAACTTTTCCTAAGCTCTTTGTTTGGCATCGTTGCTGTTGCTCCAGAAAATGACACCACATCCGTGCTACATCGGAAAAAACGGTGCTTCAGGAAATGGGAGTTTGTTTGGAACCATTTTTCATAAAAAAATGGTATTCCAAGCTACGCCTTGAAAATTGGGAAGGCATGGCTTGGAGCAATGTCGAATTTGGCGTTTCCTCAAACTACAGCTCGTTGCTGCCAACAGGGATGTGAGGTGGCAGTGATGTGGCATTGGATAATGGATACCAGTGCTGAAAACGTTTCTTAGAGCATTGGTACCAAACATAAAACGTTGTTGTTGCTTTAGGAAACATCCTATCTAGCAGCATGGATTCCAAACAAAAAAATACACCAGTTTCTCAGAAAATGGTGCTTCCAACCCACACATCAGCAGCACCGTTTTCTGAGAAAAAAGGTGTTGTATATGCAGCATCGATGCCAAACATATACTTAGGCTGTATTTGGTTTGAAAGAAAAGGTAAGGAAACCCATACAAGATTCATATGGGCTTTTCTATCTTTTCTTTCAAACCAAACACATCGTTATTTTCTATTAAATCAAACATGACCTTAAAAAAACTTTATTAAACAACAATATGATGCCATTATAAGCAAAATTTGTTTTCTTTTGGGTAGAACTTGTGAATGTCTTTTTTCAGAATAAAAATTTCCACTGGGGCTCCGTTTGTTTCAAAATAAAACAAATGAAAATACTTTCATGATAAAATATTCAATGGAAATTTTATTTTTCTCATCTTTTATATCAAAACAAATTAGAAATTGTGGAAAACAAAATTTAGCTGTAAAAGAGGGCAGAAATAATAGCTGAAATATTTCAATTTGAAAATTCCCATCTCCTTTTGATGGAGAAATAAAAGCAACCTACAGTTTTATTATGTTTGAGATCAATTTAAGATTTCAAAGAAACAACATCATATTTAGGGTTTTCTATTGCCTTCTGGAATCTCCAATTTATATAATTGTCACTTTTAGATATAGCTTGTTTGTCAAGTTTTTTCCTAAATAAAACTTCTTCAGTTTCTCTCATAATTTGAAATAAGATATCAGATTTTTTTTCTTTTCTTTTTTGAAGAAACCAGCAACAACACCGCACTATGTCAAGGAACTCCTGGGAATATCAAAAAATTCAAAACATATACCGGAAAGACATGATATGGGAAATGCTTACAGCCAATCAATAAAAGTGACGAATCAGGTGGCCATATCTTTCACCAATATTCACAGGTACATGTGTGTTTTAATTGGTCAAAGCTCTTTTTCTATATCATAGGTTTTATATTATCTTTGAGAATTTTATATACATGTAGGATTAATTTTGTATACATAAAAAAATTGAAAATTATATTTGTGTTTTTTTTTTTTTTTTTTTTGCAACAACAGCTTCTACATCTAACCAAATAGAACCTTCTTGTAATTTCTCGAGCAAACTACAGAGCTCTTATATTCAGCTTTAACGCTGCTTAGCTTCTTGTCCAGTTGCATTGACATCTTGAAGCAAGGAAGCAGTAGCTGAGGCAAAGGTAATACGACCCAGCTACTAAGGATGTCAATGGATCGGTTTTGAATTGAACCCCGTCAAACCAAGATCAATTAATTGAACAGACCAACAAGATATATTGAATTGGACTAGTCTATACTTAATTAATGGTCCAAAGTATTTATTGGATTGGACCTGCTCCATCTATAATGAATTTATATTGGATTGAGCCAATATCTGATCCATTAATAGAAGATAAGAATATAGGTGTCAATAGATCAGATTTGGATAAGAATTAATCTAAATTTAAACAATTTAAACAGATTAGACGGTCTAAACATTAAATTTAATGGATTTACATTGGACCAAACCGGATTGAACCAAATCCAATCCAATTAACACCCCTACCAGCCACTGCTTTGAATTTGTTTTGATTAATGTATTTCTCCCTACTTTGATTAAGCAAAGTCTAGGCCATGATTCTCAAAACTCCAACACTATTGCTGCATATCCGGAATCTAGATCACAGGAATTGGATTTAACCCCCAGATATTTTCCATGCAAGTTCACTCTTTTTTTTCATACCTTCCATGCACATTATGGCTAAAGCTAATTTTGATTTTTGAAAGTTTATTTTTTTATCCTAGTCATTGCTGAAAAGTTTGCAATATTTGTCTAATTTTTCTAATTGTTGTTGGGTTAATTTTACAAAACAACAAACAATTTTTTGCAAATAACAACTGAGATAATGAGATATAGTACCCCCCCCCCCCCCCCTTCTCATTTTATGTTTGAAATCATCGATTTCACCTTTCTCCTCTTCCTATTGTATTTGGTATAATTGTTTGACTAAAATATTCCAATTTTTTTGCATTTGGTATAATTGTAAGGATAAGTGTAATTTGAACAACCACTTTTCTCCTCATTCAAATCCCTCCCATTAAGTCTTATATTTAAGGTATTAATTACTAGTAACATTTATTGAATCTTTTTCTTGTCTAGAATACCCCTATTTATGAATTTGATCATTTTCTAATTGTGAGGGTACAAAATGTAATTTGAACTATTACACT